TTTGGATGTGCCAACTATGAGTATACCTTCGGCTCGGGAACTAGGCTCACGGTCATAGGTAAGGCTCTGTGGGCTTGTTCGATGAGGGTAGACTCTGTTCTGGGAGCTGTCAAAATATGAAGGAGAGGCCCTCTGGTGCCGGGGACTGAGTTCAGAGGAGGCTCCCCGGGAGGGCAAATCCACCCAGGTGGTCTGTAGATTTTTGGTGGAGTCAGAGCTAAGTCTGGGATGGAAGGCGGCAGGCCAAGAAAAAGGCAATGGTGCTGTCCCTCCCCAGGTAGGGGACTGAGAACCGGGCAGTGATGAAGGAGCTGCCAACTTGTCCATCTCCCTCGTTGGCCAGTAGGTCTAGAGGGGCTTCTGTTTTTCCTCGCCCTAGTCTTGGAGCAGGCCATGCTGTGTCTCTGTTCCTCKCCTGCGAGGGTCCTGGGCAGGCTCTGGAAGGGCATGGGAGTGTGTGAAGCAAGGTGTTCTGTGTGAGGAAAGAGACCGTGAACACCCAGCCTCTCCCTGAATCCCAGCTGAGCTCAGCAGACAAGGGGAGGTTTTGAAGTGGACCCAGGAGGCTGTGTTCTGGAAACACGGTCTATTTTGGGGAGGGAAGCCGGCTCACTGTTGTAGGTAAGTAAATCAGGGTTGGAGGGCTGGGGACCAGATGGAGCCTCTATTTCATGGGCCTGGGTTACAATGTATTTTTRTTGGGAAGATCTGAATTCTTGTCTGGATGCAGACATGGAGGGAATCCATATCCAACATTTCGTGGGTACGGTACTAGGGAGGCAGAAGGAAGGAGTCACCTTGTCCATCTCCTGTTCCTTCAAGGTGCCTGTTCTGACCAAGATAGGTGGCAGGGATTCTGCCCTTACCATCTTCATGGTCCTGCTCTTTGTCTCCTTCACACAGAAAGGAGACAGACACAGAGAGAAGGATGGGGACCCCATAGGGCACATTTGTCCCCTAATCATGGCATTTAAGGTTGTCTGCCCTGCCCTCCACTTCAGACGTAAAATTCTCCACAGACGGGGAGAGGTGAGCAGGTGGTAGGCTTGGGGGGAGGGAATGGCTGGCAGGAGGAGGGGGCAGTTTTTCTGCCAGGCTGTCGTGTTGTGCCACCAACGAAAAACTCTATTTCGGCAATGGAACCAAGCTGACTGTCTTAGGTACGTAAAAGGTTTATTTTGGAGTAGTGCCTTGTTACGTCGGAGTTCTAGGAGGACTCTGGAGGGGACAGGCACTGAGGACACAGCCAGGGTTTGGGCTAAGAGAGAGTAGGAGGGTAGAGTCCACTCCAGCAGYTCCCTGGGGTTTTCCACCCTTGTGTTTTACTGTGTTACAACCAGGCACAGCATTTTGGAGAGGGGACTCGACTCTCTGTCCTAGGTAAGCTGCAGGACTGGGGTGGTAGGGCCACTGTCCTTCAGAGTCAGTCTCCGCTTCTGCTTCTCCCAGCACTGGTAGACGGGGACTTGGTGATTCCTTTACTCCTTGACTTGCCAGGGTTGGTGGGGCTGGGTCGGCACCTCTGTTTCTGTCCTCTGAGTCTTCAGTCTGTGATCCGCTCCTACTTTCTTTGCTCATCTTTCCTTCTCGTGCGTGGGTCTGCTCCCCCTAAACCTCTTCGACCCGTCCCTCCTGTCCTTCCCTCTCCTCTCACTGCATAGTATGCTTAGGCATTCTTCCTAATGGACTGCTGCCCTGAGTGCAGGCAGAGAAAGGCGGCCGGCCCTCTGCTCTGGGGAGCAAAGGCTTGCCTCTGGCCGGAACCCCCAACAGGGTTTTACCCAGCCACCTGTAGCTGTGCGCCAATACTTMGCCTCTCTTCTTTGGGACTGGTACCAGGCTCACTGTGACAGGTATGGGGGCTCCATTTCTGTCTAGAGGTGCTTGTTCTGACCACAGTGATCTGGGAAGGGTGTTGGGCATAAGCTTAGATATCAGAGCTCTGCAGCCAGGCGCCCTCTCCTACCTTCCCAGGACCCAGTCGCTTGCTGTTCTGTGTCTGCCGCAGCTTCCAGCCTGAGAGCCTCTTCCTTCACCTTCGGGCTTTATGTTTGCTCTCTTTCTGTTTGCTCTCTGGGRCTTCCCTTACCTCTACCTCCCTACTAGGTGTGTTGCTTTGTTTTCTCTTTTCTATCTGCTCATCTCCATTCTTTCCTTCCTCTCCTTTCTCCATTTCTGCATTGTTGACCCCATTTTGGTTACTTAGCTCTGTCGCCTACGTTACACTGCTGCCCAACATAAACCTCCAGCACAGACCTGTGGGCTTGCTTGACTCTCCTCCTGTCTGCCCCTGCCAGTCTCAGAAGAGCCACGTTCATCTCTCTGGGGTGGCTGAATTGCCCTGGAGGCAGTAGGGCCCAGGCTGGTGAGTCCAGCGTGGTTTAAGGGCTGCTCCTGAGGCCTGGGGACATAGTCCATGTCATGGCACTGCAGGAGCAGCAGGGAGTCTCTGAGTGTGCTGTGCTTGGTGGGTATCAGGGAGAGAAGTCTCAATAGACYGTTACAACAGGAAACTTACCCCATCTCAGCAACAGGTTAAGTATAAAGGCAAAAAAAAAAAAAAATTAGTTTGGAGACCCTATTTTCTCAGATCTCAACATTTTCACTGGGACGTTGGGGTAAAGGGCCATCCTGAAACCCTAACAGAGCCATTGCCATGCTTTGGAAGAAGCAGGTGTGTGAGGGGAATGGGCTGGAAACAGACAGTACTGAAATATTGGGATACCAGGTCATGTCAGGATGGGTCCCTGGGAAGAYAGTGCCCTGCGGGTAGGGGCTCAAGCCAAAAAATTTAATTGAAAGTGCTAATTACTGAATTCCAAGTCCTGGGTTCAATGGAATGGGTCCCAGCATAGGGTATGATGGTTCATTCCATTTGAAAGATGACTTCAATCATCTCTAGCTCCCTAAGAGATGTAAAATGGGTAAAAATCCTTTATAAAGGATTCAACTGATTTGACAACTTGCATTTGTGTTAATTTTCATCCCTGCATCATCATAGTGTTTGTCTTTTTCCAAACCTGTGCCTCAAATTTCCCAAACATTTCTCAAATTTAGACAGAGTGGAATCACCTTGGCATGGCACATTTATGTACTATGGTCAGAGCAGAGCCAAMCAGGGCAGCAAACTCTGGCAAAAGAGCAGGTGCATGCATAGTGGATATGGTCCCTTCCGTTCCTAATGAGGCATCACATGAGGTAATGCCTTCCAATGATTCCAGAAATTCTTCCCTCTCATCTGCCAAGCGTGTAAAAGTGCCCAGAGATTTCCAGTGTGAGCCTTTTGCTGAAATGGCCGAYGGACCTGGTGATTTGTTTATAACAGCAATCAGGCTTTGACTATTTTTCATAATGCACAAGGTCTTTCATAGAAGTATAGCCATTCTGGGCAAGTCACCACACCGGCTTGAAAAATAAATACAATGAGGAAAGTGTGTCTTCTGGGCAAGAAAGGCTGATTCCAATCTGTGGTATTGTTGAAACAAACTAATACCACACTTTTTTTTTT